GCCCTCATCGGGATGTTTATAGCTGGCGTCGTTGACTTATGATGGAATTCTATTCTGATGACTCCATGGTAAGTCAGTTCTGATGTAAGCTGAATTCCTCCTTTGTTTGTTTATTTGGTTTTTACTACTACTGCTTTTTTTATTAACGGTATCTTTGTAAATCTGATCTTTGAACGTCTGTAAGTAAAACTCTGAGGGATGATAGGATTGGCATATCACATGCTGCAACATTGTATGTAGTCTATATGTCAGTAGTCACAAGACGTATAAAACCAACCAAAACAGACTGTCATTAAGTGCATGCAGTCCATCATCATTAGAATATGTCATAAGTTGGGGCTAACTGAACTCTTGTGACTTGTCCCCACGCGTGCAGCCTTTCCTGTACGTGAGTCTGTTCTCCGTATAGCAGTCAGCGGGTTCCTTTTAAAGCCCTGTCAGATCAGGTTGCTTCTTTGTGTGAAACACTCCGTTGGCTTCCCCGTTGCACGTGGAGTGCACAATTACCCATGAGTCTCTCCCTAACCTGCTGCTGCTGCTGCTGCTGCTGCTGTTAGGCGCCTTCAAGTCAATTTTCTACTCATGGGAACCCGTCAAGTTGGCTGAATCACAATCTTTACAGAAGCACATTGCTAGGTCTTTTTCCCACTGAGCTGCTGTGTGGCTTTGAACTGCTGACCTTTTGGTTAGCAGCCAGGTGCTTAATCATTGTGCCATCAATTTTCCTTTACTTTTATCTCTCTTCTTTCCCCACTGTTTTGTTTAATTAATCATTTTATTGGGGGGTGCTTACAAATCTTATGACAATCCATCATTTTAATTGTATTAAGTATACTTGTACATATATTGCCATCAACATTTCTAAACATTTTCTTTCTACTGGAGCCCTTGGTATCAGCTCCTCTTTTTTCCCCCTCCCACCCCCCTCGTGAATCCTTGATCAATCATATATTATTGTTGTTTTTTCGTGTCTTACACCTACATTTCTGTTATTTGTCCCCCTGGGGAGTGGGTTATATATCCAGCCTTGTGATGGGTTCCCTCATTCTTCCCCTTCCGCTCCCACCCTGGCCGTCCCCCTACCATGATATGGCTACTCCCACTACTGTTCCTGAGGGCTTTACCTGTTCTGACGAGAGACTCCTTTTCTACTTCATCTCACCACTCTTACTTCCAACTCCCTCTTGATCCCCTTCTGCACCCTTCCAGCATCCGTTGTCTTCTTCAGGCACATGAGGATGCTCTCATCTCAGGCTCTTTGCACCTGCTGTTTCCCTGTCTGGAATGCATCGGCTGTCTACATGGCTTATTCCATCCCCTCCTTCAGGGGATCACTTCTCAGTGTGCCTTCCCGACGGACTCTCAAACTGCTCACAACCCTCCCGATGTCCTGCCCTGCAGTATTTCTCCTCTGTCACATAATGAGAAGGCTTCAAAACGGTCGTGGAAAAGTGGAATTAGAATAGAATTGTCCCACAAAAGTCCCTTGCATTAGATTATTTTTTAGCTTGGTTATTGTCTGTCTCCCCTTCCATGAGGAAAGGGATTTTTATTTGATTGGCTCGTTAGAATGTGCTCTCCCAAGTCCTGGAAAGGGAAGAGAGGAAGGGAATGGCTTTCCAGTTTGATTGTTTACAGGAAAACATTTATGTTGTGCCCTGGAGCTCATTTTTGCACTCTGAGGCGTGTACTCTTCACTATATGCTTTTGGATAAAGTTCTTTGTCGTCAGTTCCCTGGAGAAGGTTTCTATTTGAAAGACAAGCCTTAGCAGCTTCTCAACAAGACTAGAACTGTTTCCAGGAGTAGAAAGTCCAGTCTTTCTCCTGCAGAGCTGCTGGTGGTTTCGTACTGTTGACCATGCGGATCCCAGCCCAGCGCTTAACCACTACACCACCAGGCCTCTCAACTCTCTCCACACCTCCTCATGCATTTCCTCCTCTCTCTGGATTTCTGGCCTACCAGACCAGCGGGTGACTTGGCTGCTGCCTATGCGCATCAGAGTGAGTCTTCTTACCACATCCCCTTGCCAATGTGGATGCCTGAGATGACCGATGGCAACCAGGCGACTTTAGTGGCTCTTTCTCCTTCCGTGAATTAGTGTCTTCTAATAAGTAAGTCCATAGAGGACAGAGATCATGTCCCTCTTCAGGAGAGTTGATGTCTGGGCTCTTAAAGAACATAAAATAGAGGATTTAAATAAATGATTTTTTTTTCATGATTGTTTTTCTGGCTTGGATCTAGAATTATGACATTGCTTCTTTTTAAAGACTGGCTTTTTCAGGTTGTTCTATTATAACCTGTGACCGTCAAGATAGAAGGCATTTAAGAGGATGGTCCAGGAGCCCTTCCATTTAGTGTTTACCCCATACACTGTTACCTGCTTCTCAAGGCTGAGACAAAGAACCACACCCACTGTCTCAGGTCTGCTCTAACTCAGTCACCCTGTGCAAGGTTTCGGAGAGCTGTCATTCTTCACAGGAGCCGATGCCCCCTTTCCTTCATCTCCAAAGCCAGCAATGGCAGATCAAGCCCTTCCACAGCACGCCTCTCTGACCCTTCTACCCCCAAAAGTCACAACTCTAACCAGTGCAGGACTGGTTCTCCAATCCTAGGACTCCTATGGCTCGATAGGACCAGCCCAATTTCTCCAGGATCACCTCTCCATCTCGTGATGCTTAACTTTAGTTTACTTTAACTCCGTCCTGCGAACTGGGTGAAGGTTCACAGAGCAGATCAGCTGCTCGCTCAATTCACACACAGTTTGTTTCATGTCATTGATTGCCATCCCCACAATGTGCCATCGCTGACCCCACTTCCGCCCTGTGGTCCCCATGTCCGTTCACCCAGCTTTGCTGACCCTTCCTGCCTTCCGAACTCTGTCCTGGAGCACAGGCTGCTGGTTTGATCTCAAACAGTTGATGATTCTGAGGTGTACATCTTCCCTAATGTTATCTGTTCACTATATAGCCCTCTCTAGTGTTTGCCTGAAAATCGAGTTCAGTTCCTCATCTGGAGGTTGACCACGGGCCCTAGTCGTGCGGGTCCCACCATTCTCTTTCCAACCAGTAAACCTAGTCAATTTTATGATTTAAATTTTTTTATTAATTGGAATTTAATACATGTAACATAATTGTTCCATAGTTCAGTCCCGTCAAGTAGAATTGTACAATTGCTACCACAATCTGTTTCCAACCATTCTTTGTCTACAGGGACTTTTACCCCCACCCCCATCCATCACCACTGTACCCCCCCAGCCCCTTATTCTACTTGCTGCCCCATACGTTCATCAATCCTGATTTTCATATACCAGAAAACAGAAACGTGTACAACACAGCTTTGGGTGTGATAAGCAGGTGACCTCCACTGACATAACTCCCCTGAGATACCTCTATTCTTTCCTCTCACTCTCTCCAGCACATTCCAATGTGATCCCTATCAGAGGGATGACCTTTCATGTTAATCACCTCTGCAAGGCTCTTCCATGTTCACAGATCCCAGGGTATATAGGACAGGGACATTTGGGAGAACTGGTGTTCTGCCTTCTACAAACCATAAGCCTTGCCCCTCCAATTTCAGTTTTAAAATATTCTTGGTTACATTCTGAGGTGATCATTTAAAAAGCATACTTCATTATTTTGTCTCCCAATAAAACAGAATCTGGAAAAAGTGGCCAATCAGTTTTTCAAGTATCTTAAAAGACACATAGCATTTAAGGGGCAGAGTTTTCCTTCTGTGACCACACTCGGGGTCTCCAAGACATTTGTGATCATTTTCTGTTAGCTTTTCATTCAATTTTATGGGAACTTTTCTAAGTAATCCCCCCGCCATGGACATCTCTCTGTTTTGTAACATGTGTCTCTGTGTGAATGGCTGAGAGGAATAGGCATGGTTGGTTTCTATTTCTGAAATAGTTTAAATATATAATGTCTTGTAAGGATTTCTTCTTCATAAAACGTCTGAACATCCGTTCTTGCCTAAATAAACCCAGCTGGAGAAGACTTGGCTGCTCTGGGTCATTGTGGGTTCATTAGCCTTCAGTTGTAAGAGTTGGCAAGTCCAAAATCCACAGGTCAGGCAACAGGTTGAAAATCACTCATGTTCCAGATTGGTAGGTCAGAAGGTGGGATAAGCCAACCACTAGTGTGTGTGTGTGTGTGTGTGTGTGTGTGTGTGTGTAGGTGGTGGGGTCAGACTCTTGATCAAGTATGATTGTTGTCCTAGTTGTGATGTGTAAAATCATGCATAACTGTGTAGAGTCCATAGTGTAAAGGGGCACCAGATTCGAAGCTACTTGTAATGACGAGATACACTCTAGGTCTGACCTCCATGCCCTGTAAAAGAGTCCCGTAGTACTCACTTTGAGAGTGTCTCCTCTGTCTCCCCCTCTCTGTGACAAGGCTTGGGATTTCTACTCGCTTTAAACATGAGTTCCTGTCTTACAGTCCGAGGCAGACTAGAAATGGAACAAACTCTTGGAAATGCATTAAGAAAATGAATATGGGCATTTCTTGAAAAGTCAAGGGTCACTCGGAAGCTTTCCTGAAGGATAAAAATTGCATTTCTTATTTTTTTTAAACCAGTTCATTTAGACTAAATGTCGAGGTCGTTATTAACAAGAAACAAATTGGTCCACAATTTTGGCATATCTTGAACTTTTCCTACCTTATAAGTTAATTCAATATGTGGTTAATGCATTTAGGTAATTAATTTTTTCCATGCCAACTCTGTCATATTCATTTGATAAGGGTCAGCAGTAATGAGAAACAAAATGGTCCACAGCTTTGGCATATTTGCGACCTTTACCTAACGTGTAACTTAAAAACAGTTAATATGTGGTTAATGTATTTAGATAATTAAATTGCTTAAACTTGCCAAGGTAATAATTTTATTGTTTTTTCTTTAAAGAAAAGTCTCAAACGTTGTATGATGGCTAGAACGCCTACAGCTAAGAAGGAACGGAATATGCAAGGCGTCATTGTGTTTCCTCTGTCCCCGCAGATTTCTGAAGAGCCCGGCTGAGGGACCGTGGAGCGGCACTGGCCAGTGAGATGCGCCTGTTTAACTTCCTAGATCCAGATGCAGTGGCAGTTCCATCACAGATGGGTGGTGGTGAGCTGCCTCTGCCTGCACACCTGTGTAGTTTTGTTTCAGTTGACCTTAACACGTCTCTTACAAACGCTTTATATATACGAAACAGCATTGACGCTAGAAGATTATCCTTAAATTGTGTGCAATCTAACAGCTATTTTTCAAGTAAATTTAAGGTATCACGTCAGCCTTCTGGCATTATAGCGAAGTCTAATATCCAAAATCTTAAAATTAGTGCTGTTGATAAAGAAAGTCTAAATATTTGTTTCTAACAAGCCAACCATGACTGCTTTCTTTTTCCCTAGTTAATCGCTGGACTGTGTTTAATTGTGAGATAAACCAATGTTGTAGTCTGTATTCTGGGTCATGTGGAACTTTATTTGTGCAGGTATGTTTGGTACCAAAGGCTCTCAGACATAGATTAGCCAATTTACACATAAAAAGAGAAATCTACACTGTGCCCAAATAGATGGTGTGAGAGACAGACTTGCCTAAAAGAAATGTGCCTTGCTTGATTAAACAGTCTTTTTTTTATTATTCAAAATGGTAAAATTGCAAATTAGTCCTAGTAGGTAGGTTTTAGCTGAACTGAATTGTACAAAAAATAGATTTGGTACTCATCACATGCTTCCGTTCTTCATCGTTACTAGAACTTCAGCATGTGGTGACACCGTTCAGCTGTTCCTGGACACTGTCCCTGTTCGGTTGCATTTTTGTGGGATGTTAGTGTGTTGATAGGAATCACCCTCTTAAAGATGTGTAGAGTGTTTCATTCTACCGTTTAAGCATTTCCTTCTAATTCTATTTGTAATAAGTTTTCTGTATCAGCTTCTATTTTTATATTCTGTTGGAAATAGCTATCTCTTTCAATAGTTTGGGATTTCTACTCGCTTTAAACATAGTGTTTGAGTTAGAAAAGAGGTTGAGAAGGTCATGAAGGGTGGTTTCCCATTTGGGGGCATTTCACTTCTGTGCCATTATTAATGTATTTACTGTGACATTTCAGCAGAATGGTAGCTATTTGTATATTATTTAATAAGCCTTATAGAAAGTCAAACTGTGAACACTTAGTATAAAGGAAAAACAAGACTTTTTTTTTACTTCTATACTTTATTTTCTAACACACAAATACATGAACAAATGTATAAATAACTTAGCTCCTGTTATACAAACGCACAACAAGGCTACGTCATAGGAAGAGCACCTCCAGAGTTTCAACTCTTAAGGAACTCCTTTGGCAGCCATGCCAAGATTATAGTACTCTTTGATGCCCGTTACGAGGAAATACAGGTGATGCATTTCATTGCTAAATATATGTGTGTGTGTGTGTGTGTGTGTGTGTGTGTGGGAGTTTACACATACGTGTCTATATGTATATGTACATGTGTATAGTTCTTGTAAACTTTATTGAAATTGTTTGAGCAATTTCATAACCCTGGGGGGAAATGTTTTCTATCTTAAATGAACACATCAAAGGTAAGCAATTGGGGAACAAAATGTTTTCTATCTTAAATGAACACATCAAAGGTAGGCAATTGGGGAACAATCAGTAACTGAAGCAATTATCCCCGAGCAGTGAGAGAGATGGACGGGAGGTCACCAAGCCACTCATTCTGCACAATATGCTGGTCAGACTTGAAGACTAGATCACTTAAGGGGAAAAGGGAAGGGAAGGAGTGGCAGTTACAACAGATGGAGCTGTGTGCACCTCAGGTCAGGATGATTTGCCCATCCCCTGGCTTCCACCCTGTGCCAGCTCATATAGCCGAGGCCCTAACTAGCCCAGAGCATGGCCACAGTCAAGGGGTTGCCGTCAGCTCTCAGGGTGAGTGGAACCAGTGGCACCACTGTGCTGTGGGACGTCTTAGACGTTTATGTGTGTTAATAAGGATCAGTAAGGGTTTCCAATAGAGCCAAAAGAGCTACCTGCGTAAACACCAATGATACACCTTCATACACTGCCATCTATTTATTATCACAGGATGCATTGCAAATAAAGACTGAGTCTGGACTTCGGTATAAACACAAGCCCAGAATTGTGCCAGGTGAACAAACTGTCATGTCAAAGATGGCTCACATGGTGGGTAGTTAAAGGAGTGCCGGCAGCATTCTTAGCCGCTTCCTTCCAGCGGGAGCCCACAGCAATGCCTCACCAGTGCTAGCCTCAGTGTCATGTGTGAAATAGGTCTGCCGAAGCCTGCCCGGCCTTCACATCCTCAGCACGCACGTTTGAAAATGCTTCGAAGAGGACTTCCGCGCTCAGGCTTTCTTAAGCTCATCTCGGAAGGAAAACATGCATTGAAATAAGCCCTGAAAGCCCCATACACCTGTCACTCTTCAAGTTGATTGTGGAAACAGGGAGTACGGATCTCTTTCCCTCCTACCAGAATCATCACTGGCCTGTGATGGACCAGGAAAAAGTAGAAAAATCGCCCTGCAAAATGGGAACAACGCAGTGGAATAGCAGCAAGGGCATGTTACTTAAATTTAACTAAAGGTCAAGGTCATTTGACACGTTTATGTGGCATTCTAAGGCAGTAGCAGAACTTGATCGTGTGCTCTATTGGCCTGGCAGAGGCTGGAGGGATAGGAGCATTTGTCTGTCTCTTCGTTCTGTAGCCAAGGAACAGTTCGTTAGAGCTGTGCTTTCACAACGGCTCTGCCGGTGACCTTCCTGTGTCCTTGGTAAGTCCCTGTAACCTCCCTCAGCCCCAGGAACTTGACCGGCACAGGGAAGAACTTACATACGTAAAGTTGTCTCCATCTTTGAAAACTCTGTAACACGTTCAGATCTTCATTCTTCTACATAGAAAGGCACATGCTGCTCCAGTCCTACGCATGTCTCTACTATAGGGAATGAACATATCCCCAAGATTTATAAAGAGATCAGTTACTGGCAATTTTGAAAATTCAAATATTGATATTTCTGATATTGCTAAGTAATCTCAGCACACTATAAAAGCAAAAATCAAGTATTAAAAATGTAATCGCTTTTAATTTTGACCGTAGTATAATTACTATGGTTTATCATTTCATCTTGGAGCGTGGAGTTATTTAACTGGAAAAAAAAAAAAAGAAAATACTATTCAAATTAGTCTTCTATTTAAATTTGGCTAAATAAACAGCCAACAAGAATCAACTGTAGTTGATGAGTAAGGTGCATTTTATCACATTAAAAACTAATGCCATTGGATCCCAGAAGCAATGTTTATAATTTAAAATAATAGTCACAAACTTGTGAAATTTTGTGAAGACCAGTGAGGCCTGATACGAGCCATAATGTAGTGAATTTTGCTCAGGAGTGAAAAACAAAATCCAGGGAGAGCCCAAGCTCGTTCTGTTTGCTTTAGTGAACAGTTGGCGAGAGAAGCTTTTGCCCTGCACACAAAGTAGGTGCTAGGTGACTAGACCCGCTGAAAAGCAGAAGTTTGTTGTGGTTGCGTACTTTTGGTAGACAGAGATTAGGCAAGAAGGATGCCGAAATGTGGGCACCAGAGAAATTGTCAAAACGCTGGCAGTCCGTTTGAATAACACAGTGCTGTTTTGTCATGCTGAAGTGATTTGTGCAGAGGTCTGGTCTTCCATCATTTCCATGCAGAAAGGGGGCAGTCTTTCAAGGCCTCTTACCATCACAGGGAATGTATATGTCGACTGGTGAAGCAAATCACTGGAACATTTAGCCTGGTAATTTTGTTTTTGTGAATAAGAATTTTCCGTGTTGGTGTAGTTGAGTCTTTTTTGTATTGCTGTTTGTGGTTTTTGTGAGACGTGATTTTGTCCCTTTTTTAAGCTGCTGAAATGTGCTATTGGTGATGCCGTGTTAGCATTGTATCTCGACAATAATTTGTGAACTGACCATACTAAAACAAACCATTGTAGTATCTCTCCCGGTACATTGTTTCCATCCTGTGGTCTCTTAATACTGGGTTTGTGGGGGTGAGGGGGTGGGGGGCGGGGGAGGCTAAATATTTAGTTTACTTAAAATTAACTGTCAAAGTGATTTTCTCTAACTGCCATAAAACTGTAATGACTATAAGCCAAATGAGAATATTCTCTTTTAAAACTTTAAGGATACTGTATAGACCATTTTTGTAGCTGCCACATAAATTGGTATCTTCTCTGTTTAAAAGCTCCTACACCTATACAAGGGAAAGCAGACTAATGGTGCATGTAGTACTTCAATACAATATGCTAAAGATGATCATAAGAATACATCTTTGAAATATTACACTATTAGTAATTACACAAAGGTCAGAAGAACAAATACAAGACCTCCATTTTTTCCCATATATTTATTACCTCATATTTGTCAAAGATCATGTTTGTTAAAATATTCACATGAATTAGCCAATTCCACATGCAATTTGGAGAGGACAGAACCTAGATTTAGAAAGAGAATGTGACTTGCTCAAGGTAGCATGGTCAGTAAATGGCTCTAAATCTCACCTTCTTTGCACCCTGCTCCCCCTGTCATGTGCTTTTTATCCTCTGACTGTAAATATCATTTAAAAGTTGACTGAAATCTAACTGTAAATGAAACCTTGGAAAACTCCAAATCCTAGCCCTTCCACTCGATGATATGCAACCATTTTCCACTGAAAATACTCAGTCCACACATCCCGCCCACGGACACTAAATTCATAGGATGTCAAAATGCCAGACCCCAAGACGGGCTTCCTCACTCATCCTCTCTGTTTGCCTTTCCTAAAAACCCACCCTAAGCGACCGGTTTCTGAACAGTCAGCAATAGTCAGCCCACCCAGTGGCAGCCAGTCTGATTAGGAGAAAAACATGGTCCAGCCCCCATGCTCCTCAGCCTGTAATTCAGCCTGTTGCTTCTCATTGCATGCGTCCTGTAATTAGGGAGGGCGGGAAAGGGAGAATAGGGAAGAAAATAATCTATTTTACTTTCAAAAAACAACAAAAACACCTCAGTAGATTCTCTATTAAAAAAGGGAGTGGCCTGGTGGCCCAGTGGTTAAGTGCACGGTCGGTGGTTCAATCCCCCCGACTACTCTATGGGAGGGCAGTGAGGCAGTCTGCTTCTGTAGAGATTTGCAGCCTTAGAAACCCCGCAGGAAGGTTCTACCCTGTCCTTGGAGCCTCTGGGCATCGGAATCATTCGATGGCAGGAGGGATGGTTTTCATTGCTGTTACTCTTACAGAATCTGTTATTCAAAAGGAATTGGTTATCAAGCACATCAGTATTATTAATCTCTAGCCATAGTTCACATGTAGGGTAAATCTTTAGCCGCATATTTTAAATTATCTTTTTAAGGCTTTTCCCAGAAAAAAAACCAGAATGAAGACATGCTAACTGCTCAGTTTGAATGTGGCGAACACTCATTGTTACTCCATGATGCCTAGCAGTTTTGTTCTTTTCTCACGCCCTAGACAGATGCCATTACTGCTTTCCCTTGTAAGTCAGCTGTTCTGTGATACATTCTGTATTTTTAATGACCAGCAATGCAGTGTCATGTGGATAGATGTAAATGGAACATATGCTATATTGTATCAGAATTTAAAATGTTCTAACCTTGTTTATTTTCTCCTCATCAAAAAGATAAGTAAAGCAAATATTATTTTGTATGGAATGAAATGATAATCGTTCTTACACAATAATAACCGATAACAGAATTCTGAACCTAATATTATAAAATCAACCATATATTTTATATTTTTTCTATACCTGTCTAAACACAAGTTATGTTAATTTCCCACATTATTGATGCAAGCTCTTCTACCATGTTCTCTAATATTGTCTTCTTAATAATTTTGGGCTTACTGTTAAGTGACTATCATTAAGTACCTGTGAACTTGGAATATGTGATATATTTTTTTAAAGTTTTCATTGGACTTAAAGTGTTTTCATTGCAAATGTTATATGCAGAAGTCAATAAAATATCCCCCCTCAAAATCCTGTCAGTCATATTAATAGTTTCCAATGATTTCCCTCTTTTTTCTTCTTACTTTTGTAATGAAAGGGGAAAGAAACAAGAAGAGTGGGCTATTGTCAGTCGCTCAAGCGTCAGCTCCCGTGGATCCGCTCTGCAGACTGTTAGGAGCCTCCCACCTGCTACAGTGCATTCTGCCTAACTAGCTAGTAGAATGGCGCCATTCTCTAGTTGCTTTCTCTCTCTCTCTCTCTCTTTTTCACTTCTCCCTGTCTTACACTATTGGGTCCCAGAAAAGGAAACATTTATTTGTACCAAGTCTGCACCTTCATATTTTGTGCCTCTGACATAAGAGAAAATAATAACCAAGCAGTCCTACATGATTTCATTCAGAAATATGCACCAAGCCTCTGTTGGGTGCACCGCCCTGTTCCAGGCACTAGGAGTTGACTTTGAAGGTGAGTAGGAAAGCGGCCTTGCTCTCAGACTTCCAGAAAGGGGCATACACACGGATAATCGAAAAGTGTAGGTTAGGATGCGCATGGTTTAGATCCAGAGTAATCAGCTGTTAAATAAAAGCATTCCGTTTGCCATATGTGCCATAGGTCCAACATATTTCCCACCATGTCAAACTACAGTTTCCACCGATTGGCCTTTATATCCCCATTGTTCTAATTTTGTACTGAGAAATGTTGATCCTGATTTTTGTTTCTTCTCCCTAATAGCAGCTAGTTACTCAAATGTGTTTGTAGTTTGGAATGTCAACAAATGCGCCATCACCAAAGCAGAGGCCCTCTCACTCGGCTCACTCTGGAGTTCTACTTGGTCTTTGAAAACAGAAAGCGCAGATTTAGACAGTCTTCCACATGTGGTGATTAACTGTCACAGAAAAGACCCAAACCTTCTTTTTATCTCTTTCCTTTGGAGCCACCGTTTTATATAAGAAATAACCATGTCTAAGCTTTCTGGTTAGGTCATTTTAGTGGGAGACTCCATAGGTTGAAATTTGTAGGTATTTTGTTTTAAGGGACCAAATTGAAGTACTTTGTTCACATTTATAGGGTGAATTAAAAGATGCTGGTAGTCTCCAAGGGATTACAAGATACCCTCTTTGAATCATGGCTTTATCCAATTGAATTTGTTGGACTTCAACAAAAACAGATGAGAACGTGCCGAGAAGCTGAGCACACCTCCTTCCCCTCCCCTCCCCTCCCCTCTCTCCTGGCCTTAGGGATGAGCCAATCTCCAGCTCTTTTCTGTGGTGTCTTTTCTATTAAGACTGATGAATAGGACGCCTTTCTCTCCCTTGGGTCTACCATTTATAGGTTCCATAATTCACAGCCCTAACTGGTTACCTTGTTGTGTTTAAATCACACACACACACCTCTTAGTTCCTTCTACATGATACCTGATTGCTTGAGTCTGGGAAGAGGAATCTTTGGTCTGAGCATAGGAAAAGTCAAAAGACCTAAAACCTTTGGTGACAACATTGTCTTTTTTACAATGAAGGTCAGTAAAGCCATCCCTTTGGAAATGATGGCACCAGACAAGGAACAAGAGAAATAACCCAGAAACCGGGTTTCAAAAGACACCCTTGACAAGAAAATGAGCGTGGGGGTGGGGGGGGCACAGTCCCTCACCCATGCCTGGTCTGAATGCTTTTTGATAAAGATGCATAGGCCCAATCTCATTAACCTGTATGTGTCCCTGAAGAGTAGCTAGCAGCTATCACAGTTTTGTTTATACCTGTTACGGAAGCCATGAGGCAGCGATTTCCTGATGGCTGGACTCTAAGTAGTCTCAGGTCACATCATGGAAGTTGACCAGTGGGTCGAAACTTGACAAATATACCATTGTCTCCAGGATTCACTGACCTGAGGAACTCTGCCATTGTCATCTCTAACTTGAGGAGGGCTGTAACTAGGAGACGAAGGAAGTGACATTTGTAAGCGTGGATGCAAATGTTTGAAGCAGAGTTAATTTTTGGCTACAATATCTGTAGGGAATGTGTGAAACTGTTTGAACGCTTTGTGCGTCATAAATATTTAAGTTTAAATAGGCTTCTCTCTGGGCACTTTCTAAGCATGGACTACTCCACACTGCCCAGCAGGCCAAAGTCTCGGCATGTGGAGTCACCAAGATGGAACTTAGAGCACAGTCCTGCAGGGGAGTGTCCCGAGTATGTATCCTTAGACAAGATCAGACGGGGCACATGCTGAGGCAGTGGAGGGTCTCAGAATAGATGATGCATAGATTAACAGGACCTTCTGTGCTGTGCTTTACAGCGAAAAGAAGGTAGGGTAGGTAAGGCCTATCACCCATGTTTTAGAATGACAAAGCCACAGCACAATGAAGCCGTTTGCCTAAGGTCATGTGATAGTTCTGGAAAGTGACCCAAATCTACGGTCTTCTGACTTAGGATCCAGGAGTCAGCACAGCCGCAGCCCCTCCCCTGCCCATCTCAAATTCTGCCTTCCTGAGAAGTGAGGCAAGTCCCAAGAAGGAGTTACAGAAGCTCAAAGCAGAGCACTCACCCTATGCTGCTTCCAACCTGGCAGCCCGAGGACCACGCAGAATGCTCTCAAGCTGGGTTCCTGAAGCCATACCATGAGAGCCAGAAAACAGAAAACCCAGCACCTGAGAACTGGGCTCCCCTCCCACTCCATCCATCAATCCCACTTTCCGTTCAAAACAACATTTATCGAGTATCTCTTGGTTGCCTTTTCTGCCCTCAGAATCCAGTGGGAAAGTCCCAATCTCTGGAGCTCCGGGCTCCATCCTAGTCTACCTCCCTTGAACTTGACTTCATCAAAGATTACCAGCTTTGACCGCATATCAGGATCTCCCCACCGGGAAACCGATCAGAACACACCACTGTTAGCTCCATTCTTTCCTTTCCACTCAAACCAAACTTTAAAGAGGATCTATCGCTTCCTTGTCCCTCATTTGTTTGGTATTCTGCGATGTCATCCCTCTGGAATCTGGCTTCTGTCTCCCTCTCTGAAATGTTCACAGCTCCTAGTTTCC